AAAAAAAAAAAAAAAAAAGCAACCATTTAGTTGTGATCCCTTTTTTTCCCCCAAATTTTGTTTTTGCCTGAGACAAGGTCCAGACTGATCTCTAAACTCTGTAAGTAGTTGAGACTGGCCTTGAACTCCTGACCCTCCTCCCTCTGCTTCAGTGTGGATTTGACAGGACAGGCTTTTGCCACCATGCCCAGCTTGGTTGCTCTTTTAAGACAGGGTCTCTGTGTATCTCTGGCTGGCCTGGGACTGGAGAATAGGCTAGCCTTCCTCTGCCTCCCAAAGGTGAGCTCCATCACCCTGACTTGATTACATTTGTAAAAAGAACTGTTTGAGGGTTACTACATGACTGAGTTGTAGCACTCCAAGACAAGTGGCAGGCAGATCTCTTAAGTTCCAGGCCAGCTAGAACTACATAGTGAAAACCTGTCTCAGAAAAGAGAGAGAGAAAGATACTTATTGAAAATACCATTTCTTTGTTTTTCAATTCTTTTTTTCTGGAGACAGGGTTTTTCTGTGTAGTTTTGTGCCTTTCCTGGATCTCGCTCTCTAGACTAGGCTGGCCTCGAACTCACAGAGATCCGCCTGCCTCTGCCTCCCGAGTGCTGGGATTAAAGACATGCCCGGCTCAGGCAACTGTTTTGAGGACAGTAGAAGACAATGTGAGTGGGTAAATTACAAATTGAGAAAAAGGGCATGGAGGTATTAAGCAGAGTATCTTTCCTGTAGACACTTAAGAAAGACCTAATAACTGTGATCAGAGTGGGGTTTTGTGTGTGTGGTTTTGTTTTTGAGACAGAATCTCACTGTGTCTTTGGCCTGGAATTTGATGTATAGAACAGGCTGCCTTGAATGCAGAGATCCACCTGTCTCTGCCTCTTCTTCCTGAGTGCTGGGACCAGAGGTTTTTTGAGGGAAGTCAGGAACCAGTTTTGGGGGGTATTGGAGAGAGAGTACTCAGGTGGAAGGAATAACAGGTGTGCAACAGGAATTGATTCATCCCTCCCTTCTCTCTCTCTCTCCCTCTCTCTCTCTCTCTGTCTCTCTGTCTCTCTCTCTCTCTCTCCCTTTCTAAGAAAGCCAAGTGTGGCTGACAGGCATGACTGTTTAAGGTGAGTTAGAGGTCTGGTAGGTTGGTGAAGGGATTTTTCACTAGTACAAATGAAGATAGGAAAGCCTTGTGACTTTGGTTGGGGGAAGAGGTACATACGTTGGCTGACTTTTGCAGAGCTTGGAAACACTATAGGGGGTGTAATGAACAGGCTAGTGTAGGCTAGAAATGGTCCTGGAGATGTAGAATGATGGATAGAGGTTTACAAAGAAGCTTAGAGTTTGGGGATTAGCTTCCTGCTCTCTAGTCAGGACAGGATTGCTGTATGATTCACAGAGTTCAAGAGGCTCAGGATCTCTGTAATTGTACAGTGTGCACATTTTAAAAAGCTCTGTTACATCCATATAAATGTCAAAAAAAGTTGAGCTGCATAAGAGGCTAAGGCAGTCGGATTTTGAATTCAAGGTGTGCCTGGATACCTCCATCTCAGAGGAAGAAGTCGGGTGTGGTGGCTCATGCTTTTAATCCACTCTCAAGAGACTGAAGCAGGCCTGTATCTATGAGTTTGAGGCCAGTGTGGTCTACAGAGGGATAGTTCCATGTCAGGCAGATAGACACTGTCTGAAAAAAAAGGGGGTGGGTGGGATAGAATAGGGATAGAGCTCAGTGGCAGAATACTAGCCTGTTACGTGCAAGCCCCTGGGTTCAGTCCTTGGTACCACAAAAGATAGTTTAAGAACCATTGCTCTAGGGAAGAGGGGAGGGAGATTAGAAAGGACCATAGAGCGGATTGGATGATCAGAGTTTATTTTTTGTATGTATGAAAAGTCATAATGAGCTGCTGGTGGTGGTGGTGCTCGACTTTAATCCCAGCACTCTGGTGGGAGAGGCAGGTGGATCTCTGCAAGTTTGAGACCAGCCTGGTCTACAGAGCCGGTTCTAGGACAGCCAGGGCTGTTACACAGAAACCCTGTCTTGAAAAACTTAAGGAACACTTTAAGTTTTTTTTTTAACACTTTTTTTTTTTTAATTAAAAGTTTGGTAGCGTAGGGTATATCTGCCTTAACTACCACTGGAATATTCATATCTGTCTTGTTATGGTGGAGGTTGAAAATGTAAGACTAAATCCGGTCTGCAGATTGATTTTGTTTGGTTCACACAGAGTTAAAATTTGAATTAGTTGTCAGTATTTAAAAACGGATATATGGGGTTGGAGAGATGGCTAAGCAGTTAAGAGTACTGACGCTCTTCCCAAAGACCCAGGTTCAATTCCCAGCACCCACATGGTAGCTGACAGCTGTCTGTAATTCCAAGATCTGACACTTACACACAAATGTGCATGCAGGCAAAAACCAATGCAAATGAAATAAAAATAAATACATTTTATATATATATATATGTATATATATATGTAAATTTTCAGACTGCTCTTGAAAAATTAGTTCTGGCAAGCTTTGGATCTGTTTTACAGCAGCCATCTCTTGTGATTGAGATATTTCTTTTCCCGATTGCCACGGACCTTAGCACTTACCAGAGCCTTATTTCTTTTTTTTTTGGTTTTTCGAGACAGGGTTTCTCTGTGTAGTTCTGGTGCCTGTCCTGGATCTTGCTCTGTAGACCAGGCTGGCCTTGAACTCACAGTGATCTGCCTGGCTTTACTTACCTTGTGCTGAGATTAAATGTGTGTGCCACCACCACCCGGCTCTTTGGGTTTTAGTTAGGCTTTTTTTTTTTTCCCTTCAAAATTTTGTTTACTAATCTCCCCCCCCCTTTATTGAAAATATTTTTTTCCTCACATAATATATCCTGACTATGGCTTTTTGAGACAGCGTGTCTACATAGTCCTGGCTGTCCTGGAACTCACTCTGTAGACCAGGCTGGCCTGCTTGTGGAGATCCACTTGCCTCTGCATCCTGAGTGCTGGGATTAAAGGTGTGCATCATTGTGGCTGGCCTGATAAGGAAGGGAGAAGGGGCAGGGACTCCTAGAACATGGAAATAGTTTGCTTTGGAACTGAAGCCCCAGAAGTTTTAAACGGCAGTGCCTTTAAAAAGGTATTGATCTGTCCACTGCCCTTGCCTTTTTCATCTGGCTTAAGTTCAGAGTCTCCATTTTGTTCTGCCTGGTTTACTTTGTAGCATCTGGGATGTTGTAACTGCATAGCTTAGCCT